AAGTGGGAGTTGGATAGATCAGAATTTTATCTTAGATTTCAAAATATAGAAGAAGAAAAAGGACAAGATTTGGTTGCGATAATGGTAGGAATCCTGGCGGAGGCGCTCGAGATAACAGAAGAGAAGATGATGGATGGAATTGATGAGATATATCGAGTTTTTACAAGATATGCGATGAGAAATAACCTACCCAGAGAAGTTCATATTAGATTTATTAAAAAATCTTTGAAGACACAAATATTGCAAGTAGCAAGAGAGAAGCCACTGAAATACAAAAGTAAAGAAATTTTGGTTTTAAAACAAATACCTAGAAGAGTGAGAGAGATGAGAAGAGAATACCGATTCCTGACTAAAAGGTTATTGGAAAAAGAGGTGTCTTACAGGTGGTTGATTCCAGAAGGATTGATGTTTACGTGGCAGGAACAGAGACATAGAATTGATTCAATTGAGAAAGCAGAACTGTTTTGCGCAGAGGTTTTTGGAGGCAGAGAAGGAGGAGCAGGAAAGGAGGTCCCATCAATTGAATCCCAAGAGGAACAAATGGAGGTTGGAAAAGAAGAAGGTGCAGTAGGTGGACAAGTGGATATTAAAGATCAACGTGAGGCAAGACCCACGAGAGTGGTTAAATCTAAATATAAAACATAATTATGGAAGAAAAAAAATTGATTACAATGAATATAAATGGACTGAACTCAGCTGCTAAGAGAAGGAAGATTTTCCATAAATTAATGAAATTAAGGTTCGACATAATTTGTTTACAAGAAGTTCATATTAAAAAGCAACATGAACAATTGTTATTACAACCAAAATTAGGGAAATTGTTTACCTCTTTGACACAATCCAAGAAAAGAGGGGTGGTTTTATATATTAAAGAGGCCATTCCAGCAAAAATGATTTATACAGATGATGATGGGAGAATATTAATGGTGGAAATAATGGACAATAATAGAAAGATACTTTTGATTGCAATTTATGCACCGAATGATAAACAGGAAGAATTCTATAGAAAATTACATACTAAGACTGCCGAACTTGACTATGCTAATGTAATTATGATGGGAGACTTTAATGGAATTGTGGATAATAGACTTGACTATATTGCAACAACAGTAAAGCATAACAGGAAAACTCTTCCTAAATCCTTTTTTAAAATGATAGATGAATTAACTTTAAAAGACATATGGAGAGAAAGAAATGATAAATCTAAGCAATTTACGTTCTATTCAAATAGGCATCTATCATGGTCCAGACTGGATATGATTTGGATCTCAACAGATTTAATGTCTAGTATTCAAGAAGTAAATATTGAAACAAGTACTTGGGCTGACCATAACCCATTGACAATTGAATGGAAGGGACAAAGGAAAAGATCGAGATGGACATTAAATAATTCTATTTTAAAGGATAAGGAATTTATACAATGGATGGAGAAAGAATTGGCCTTCTTCTTTAAAGAGAACAGAAAAGAAGACACCTCAATACAGAATGTTTGGGACACAATGAAGGCCTATGTTAGAGGCTTGATAATAGACTATACAAGAAAAAAGAACAACAGGAAAAGGCGAACTCTTAAAGCCTTGGATGATGAATATAAGGGGCTTGAAAAAGAATTACAGAAAATGCCACACAGAAAAGATGTTAAAATGAAACTGGATATAACTAAACATAAAATGGATTTAATAGAGAAAGAAGAACTGGCACAGAAAATTAGGAATGCTAAACAGAATTATTTTGAGGATGCAAATAAGCCAGGTAGATGGCTAGCATACAAATTGAGAAAGGAGAAAGAGTCGAGGAAAATACCGCAGTTAATAGACGACCAAGGTAAAATTTGTTATGGCAGCAAAGAAAAAAAAGAGATTATTTATGATTTTTATAAGCATTTGTATAAGAAAGAAGACATTGATGAGGAGAAAGTTAAACAATACCTACAGAATGCAAATCTACCTAAGATACCTAAAGAGATTGAAGAAATGCTAGAAAGTAATATAACAATGATGGAGTTAAGTCAAGCACTTAAGAAACAAAATAATGGAAAGGCACCAGGTCCAGACGGGTTTCCTGTAGAATTTTATAAAATCTTTCAAGAATCACTGTGTATTCCACTGTTAGAAGTTATGAATGAAGTTATGTTAAAAAAGATGATACCTAAAACATGGTCAGAGGCTTACATTACACTTATTCCAAAAGAGGAGGCGGACCTACTGCAAATCAAGAATTATAGACCGATTTCTTTACTAAATGCAGATTATAAAATTTTTGCTTCAATATTAGCAGAAAGACTTAAAAAGTACTTGAATAACTTTATCCACCCAGACCAAAATGGGTTTTTGCCAAAGCGACAAATCAGAGACAATATGAGAGTAATTCTGGACACCCTGGAATACTATGAGGCACATCCTGAAAAGCAAATGGCTTTGATATTTTTAGACGCTCAAAAGGCATTTGATAACGTGAATTGGAGATTTATGTTACTTTTAATGGAACAGATGGGCTTTGCTAGAAGATTTATTCAGGCAATAGAAGCAATTTATAATGAACAAACAGCTAAGGTAATGATGGAGGGAGAATTTACAGATCCTATTAATATAAGAAAAGGCACAAGACAAGGTTGTCCTCTTTCTCCCTTGATATTTGTATTGACTTTGGAAGTGTTGAATAGAAATATCAGAGAAGATAAAACTATAAAAGGAATGAAAATTAAAAAGGAAGAATTTAAACTACAAGCCTTTGCAGATGACCTAGTCTTTATCTTGGAAGACCCTATAGAAACAGCCTCGAAACTGTTGGAAAAGATAGAGGTCTATGGGGAGGTGGCTGGTTTGAAAATAAATAGAGATAAAACAAAGATTTTGTCAAAGAATATGTTGCTGAAACAAAGGGAAGAGTTGGCAGAACTGTTAAAAATTCAAGTTACAAACAAGGTTAAGTATCTGGGGATATATTTGACATCAAGATGTAGTACATTGAAGGAGAATAATTATATTAAACTTAAACAACAGATAGCTCAAGACTTGAAAAAATGGGAGAACTTACAATTGTCATTAATAGGAAGGATTTCAACAATCAAGATGAACATTTTACCCAGAGTCTTATTTTTGTTTCAAACAATACCAATTAGGCTTGGAAAAGAATATTTTGAGGATTTAAATAAAATTGTTTTGAAGTATATATGGCAAGGTAAGAAAGCAAGAATAAAGTTAAAGCTTTTACAGGATGCTAGATTTAGAGGAGGGTTTGGACTGCCTAATTGGGAGTTGTACTACCAAGCTGCAAACTTGACGTGGGTTAAAGAATGGATAACATTAAGGAAAACCAGATTGTTGACATTAGAAGGTCATGATTTGTTGTTGGGCTGGCATGCTTTTTTATGGTACAAGGGAACTAAAACACAGGGGTATTTTAGAAGGCATTATATACGGGAGTCTCTGTGGTTGAATTGGGAGAAGATAAAAAAACAGTGTTATTTGAAAATTCCAGTTTGGTTATCGACGATAGAAGCGTTTTCTTATCCTATAATTTATAAAAAGGAACAAACAGTTAACTATGGGGAATTATTAGATGAAAAGGGTGAACTTAAATCGATGCAAAAATTGGAAGAACAAGGTATACGGATGAATTGGTTTTCATATTTGCAAATACATTCAAAGTACTATGAGGATTCCAAAGCAGAGGGATTTTATGATAAGCAAACTGACTTGGATAAGATTTTGATGGGTACTGATGAAAAGGTGATTAAAAAATTGTATGGTTATTTATTGCAAATTAAGCTTGAGGAAGAACAAGTTAAAGAAACTATGATTGCGTGGGGGAGGAATTTTGGATATGGGATTGATTTAGAGAAATGGCAGAAATTATGGTCGCAAAATTATAAAATGACAATGTCTACAGCCTATAAAGAAAACTTGTATAAGATGTTTTACAGGTGGCATTTTCCCCCGACAAGGATAGCAAGAATGTTTAAGAACAAATCCGAAAAATGCTGGAAATGTCATCAGAAACCTGGTTCATACTATCACATGTGGTGGACTTGTGAGGATGCTAGAAAATATTGGACTAAAATCCACATGTGGCTGGAAAAAATGACAAAGAAGCATATAGACTTGAAACCGGAGTTTTTTCTATTGGGAATACTACCAGATACTTATAGTAAAGAGTTGAAATATTTGATTGTAAATGTATTGACTGCTGCTAGGATTGTATTTGCAAAAAATTGGAAAAATGAGAAAATTCCATTGCAAGAAGAAGTTGTAAAGAAAATTTTGGAATGTGCTGAGATGAGTAGATTGACTTTTGAAATTAGAGAGCAAGAAGATAAACAATTTTATTTAGTTTGGGATCTTTTCTATCAATGGTTGAATGATGAAATATTAAAATATAAAAGTTAGATAATAAGGAATAATAATGACTTTATTTTCCCTTTCCTTTTATTGGTTTTTGATACTATATTTATATAATAGTTTTCTTTGTTTCTTTCTTTTTCATATTTGGGATAGAATTGGTATGATTATAAGATTTGTTTTAGAATAAAATATTTAAAATATAGTTATCTCATAAAGGCATGACCGAATAAAAGTTTAGTCAAATTTTTTTTTTTTTCTTTAATAGAGATACTAGGATTTATAAATTTGTATTGATAAGAGTATTATATAAAGTAACTGTAATTGTGACTATGAGGTGAATGCACAAAACCGATGGACCAACCGACTTACGGTGTGTACAAAAATATGGGGGAGCTGATACTTTTATGTTTTGTTGTTGTGTTTTTTATGTTAAAAAAATAATAAAAATTTATAAAAAAAAAAAAAAAGATCAAGATTTGTAAAACCACTGAAATGTTGGAAGACACTGATGTTCTTGCCAAGCAATGTGGAGGAGCATCCACTATCCAACAAGTCAGGAATTTGCAACTCCAAGTAACCAGACTTGATAGGCAAGCTGTTTTTCAGAATTTCTTACAGAAATTAAATGCATGAAAGAAGCAGGCATTATTCATAAGACATTTATTGAATAATCATTTGCAAGAAAAAAAATGAGAAGATTGTATTCTCTTAAAAAGCAAATTAAGAACACTACACAGAGAATAAGATTGAATTTTGGTAGTAAAATAATCATAAATCTCATAGGAAATTGAAATTTCCCAATTTTTGGCAAAATATATGATTTTAAATACATAACTGCAGCTAACATTTCAAGCAAAATCAAACAAAAAACAAATAAGACACAAGAAAGGAAATGATGCGTTATGATGTTCATTCACTCACTGTATTTGCAATGCAAAAATAATCATTAGTCAGAAAACCCCTTTAGAATACAGAAAAGTCTCCTAATCCTTTAGCAGGCATGTCATGACATTCTCTAAGTCTGAAGGTTGGGGCATCAACTCCTTGGATAAGTAAATGAACCACTAAATCCAAAGCCCAATGTGACTAAACAATATAATATCTAACACATGCAAGAGATGTCCTTTAGGACTTTCATGCAAAGAGGAGGGAAACCTCTTGCTACACTACTTAAACTCATACTACAGAGTGCAGAATTGTGAATCTAAAATGGTCTGACAGAAAAGAAATGGATGTACAATCCTAAAGTGGCAGTGGGAGAGAATGATAATAAAGTCTTTGTTATTCTTGGATCCAACTTAATCGCTTCTCCAGCACTTCAAACTGTAGCTGTTAAAGTTAATTTCTGCCCCACTCTTCAACTTGTTGAATCCCACTATTTTCATCTGAAACTGGTAGTGTAATAATTTATTTCGAGTTGGTGACATCATTAGGCCCAGTTATTGCTTCTACAGTATGCTCATGACAAGGTCAGGCTTTTACCTGGCTCTTGGAACAAACTACATAATCCAATCACTTTTCCTTTACAGTGTTGAGAAAAGCTTGGAGAAATTATTACTGTGTTGGCTATTCCTCAATAATTGGCACCTTTATTCATGTATGCATGACAAGTAGATGCTAAAAGCACTGCCAACAGAAATCCCCTGCCCCAATACGTTATCTAGCAATAGAATGTGCATACAGCATGACTGTGACACTATCTAGGAATAAGAGTGGGTTTAAGCTAGGTAGGAGTTGTATGACTGGATGATATTGCTCAGTCAACAGCTCCTATTATTAGCCTATCCTAAAATCCTGAAAAACTAAACTGTACTATTGTTCAGAAATGAATCAGAATCACCGTCCATACAGTAAATGAGCTGGATCATTGACAATTCTTGATCTGCCATTGTCAAGGAATGGCAGGAGTCCCAAGCCAACCCATGGGACTTCAGAAGTTACATTCACTGGGAATGCTTGGAATGTTGAAGAGAGAAAGGTTACAGGTTCCAACAGGAATGACTCAAAATATGAGAAAAAGTAACACAAACTCTCATTAATTTCCTTTCTTACACTTGCCAGCTCTCAACTTAATGGAAAGAAGCGAGGGGGTGTGTGAGCCAGAGATGCCACCAGTGCCTCTCTCCCTGAGTCACAGTAGTTAATACAGAAGTTAGCAAAACCACTGTCTGAATTTTAGATGAGTCTCCGTCTGGGTAGTGAAGTCTTGTAAAGAGACTTGCCCCTGGCCTCAATATAGAAGATCCGCATTTCTTTGCCATCAATCTCAAAGTAGGCAAAGCCTCCTTGGGAAGAGGGCTGCCCATAGAAGAAGCGTAGGTAACCATTGGGGACTTTATGGAGGTGTTGCTTGGAGACATCCATGAAGTTTCCTGCTCCACTTAGCACATGGCCTATGCCACCTTTGTCCTGTAGGTACTATTCAATTGGAGAAAGAAGAAATGACAGATTTAGATCAGGTTCACATCACACCATTTGGGGGCATCTTTGTCCATTATGCTGTAATTGCACATTGACATTCCTATGGAGAAACAATTATATTTCTATTCAGAATACAGAATAACAGAGTTGGAAGGGACCTTGGGGATCTCCTAGTCCAACTACCTGTCCAAACACCTATACTGAACAAATAGCTGTCCAGTCTCTTCTTAAAAACCTCCAGTGATGGACCATCCACAATTTTTGCAGGCAAGCCATTCCACAGGTTAATTGCTTGACGTCTACTCAGTCCAGGACTTGCAGAATAACCATGGCCAGCTCATTGCGATAATCATAGCAAAAATATCAAATGCTCCAGCCAGACCAAGCCTGGAGAACAACTGCTATATTTAATGTTCAAAATATGCTGGATGACACAGGCAATGAAATGCATGGCTGTGCTAAAAGGACTTTCAGTGTATGTGAAGTGAACAAAAGAGAGTGGATTCAAGGATAGAGCATTTAATCGTAGGAAACACACATAAGCTCATTCAAGAAAAGCTTTTATGAACTTTCAAGAAACCCAAAGAGCTGGTTAGAGAGAAGGCAAGAATAGGCGCAACATAGAGTACAAACACAACAGGAACAAAGGTAAGTCAAGGCAAAAGAACACTGCCTAGATTTCTCTCATTCAATCCATGATGAAAACAGAAAGGTTATGCTTGAGATTGTTATAAGAAAGAAATTGTAAAGAAGCAATAAATTCCACTGTAGACTGGAAAGCAGATCAAAGAAAGGTTAAAAATAAAGACTGACAGGTTTTAGGTTCAGACCTTCTCTCTTTCATCAGTTGGCTTCCCATTTCAGGAAGTATTCAATAGCACACTCAAGCCAGTAGCCTTCCAAAGGTTCTGTGCTACAACCACAACCACCTCAGCCAAGATGGTCAACAGGGTAGTGGAAGTTGTAGATCAGAAACATCCAGAGGGTTGCAGATTCCCTTCCTACAGAGGACAGCAGATTAAGTGATAATGATTTCTTCTCTCACCTGCAGGTTGTGATCATGGCCACACAGGTAGGCAGTGGCCTTGTGTTTCAATAGCAGTGGCTGAAGCTGCTTGACCAAGCATTCAGTGGGGCCGTGCTTTCCCACAGACCATACTGGGTAATGTCCTGCCACCAGCAAGTAGTCATCCTGGGAACTGGCCATCTGTTTGCGGAGCCAAGACAATTGGCTACGGGCCATGCCTGCATTCTGAGGACGTAAGGGTTGCTCACTTTGGAAGTCATCCGAATTACCACAGATGGTCACTGTGTCTATCATGAGGATGGCAACCGTAGCATTGCTGCCAGGCACCTTGAACCTCAGCTTGTAGTAGAATTTAGGAAAATGCCTGCATAAAAAAGGTTGGAGGAAGAAGTTTTAGAGGAAAGCAAGAGAATACGCTTTTACTTCACAAGAGCATTTCCAAGGTACTTCAAGATCTTCAAAAGGCATACCACCTAGAATACTTTAAAAAAAAAAAGATCTCCATCCCAACTGGAATATCATAGTAAATACCTAAACAAACTGGCATCTTTGGATCCTTGAATCAAAACTTTATTTACAAATGTTGTTTGGAGAAGCAAGGAGAATGCTTCTTGTCCACATGAGTGAACCATTGTGGCCAGCCACCCTGGGGAGGTGCACAAGTTTAATACAGGTCAACTTTCAGCCATAAAAGTAACATGGGATTCCCTAAATACTTATTGTTTGTTTTTCAGTTAAGGAGAAACAAGTGGCAGAAGAGGACCCCAGGAAATTAGCCTGGTTGGCTGACTCCTGTACTAATAACAGTACAGAAGTTGGCCAGACTCTGCTCTAAGTTCAGTCAAAAGTCAGAAAGGGTTTATGACTAACAATCTCTGCAGGAGCCAAATTTTTGTTTTTGTTTTAAAAAACAATCTAAACATGTACATATAAAGCAGGATATAAAATCACAGGAAGAATAAAATAAATGATGTCCTATTAGTTTATGCCCAGAATATCCCTTGGCAAAGAGGAACACTTTCACAGCCAGAGCATTGGAAGCCAGTTAAAAATTGTGTACTGGATGTTTGATGCAAAAACTGTGACTGATTTATGTCAAAGGCATGCACCTAAAAATAAAGTTTGAATTATTACATTAATCTGTATGATGCCATTTTGATGCAATCTTGCTTTGCTGCACATATGTATGAGGCAAAGAATTAGAAGTGTTATGACTATTGTGGGTAAGGCAGGACGGAAGTGTTCAATTAGCATAATTGTGTGTATGTGTTTCTGTTTAAGAAGAAGGAAATATGAAGGAGGCAAAGAAAAGTGTTACTGGCTGAATGTGTTTGTGGGTAGGGCAGGACGGAAGTGTTCAATTAGCATAGTTGTGGTGGGGGAAGGAGGGTGTTTCTTGTTTAAGAAGGAAATATGGTCTCAAAGAAAGCATGCAAGTCTCAGTGTAACATCTGTTCCCATACCACAAGGATAATAAAGGCTTTTATGCTACCCTTTTGTAAAAGATAACTTAAAAGAATTATTCATTCTCTTTTTGAGAGAGAGCATAATCTGGTGGCCATTGATATTTATTGTTTTGAGGAGGAATCCTTTCTTTTTCTAATAGTATAAATGCAGTTCAACGTTTGAACCAATGGCCAAGAAAAGTAGTCGCCTGTCATCAATGATTGTGCCCAAGTGGAGGTTAGACAACCCTCTGCCTAAGATGCTGTAAAAGGCTGCCCGCACTGAGCAGGATTAGCCCCAGTGGCCTCTTCCAGTTCTATGATTCCATGATTCTAGTGTGAATATTTTAGCAGAGGATATTCACTGCAAGACAACAGCACTTCTTGCACATTGTTTCTCTCCCCACCAACACCTGCACACCCAGCAACTGCACTTCCTTCTATCCTTTGTTAGACCCCAGACTCACCAGCGCTTCGAGATTTTGCTGTAGGCAATCTGGGCAGAGACATTCCCAGAATGATCATGGTTTCCAGCTACAACATACCAGGGCAATTTACGCAGTGAAGGTGCTTGGAAAACTGATTCAAAGGTTTCCTACAAAGGAGCAAGAAACATTTATCTGTGGGGAAGAGGGAGATACATTTTCTGCATAGCATCAACTCCTGGTAAAAATGTTAACATTTTTCCAAAAATTAGCAATTGTTTCTTTTACACTAGTTGGCTTCCGACAAGCAAAGTCAACAGAGGAAGCCAGATTCCCTTAACAACTGCAGCAATTCACTTAACAACTTTATTGCTAAGCAATTACAAATTTGGGCTTAACTGTGGTTGTAACTAGAGGTTGCAACCTGTAGCAGGTTGGGGTCATCTGCTTAAAGAAAATGTTCCTTGACTCAGGTACTTATCATTATCTTTGTAACTTTACAGGCTGACAGCTCCACTCCATCACACCCCTTAGGAAAAACTAGGGAGCCTCTGCATTTGATCCTAGGTGCAATCAGGGGATCAAACTTTTTCTTCTGAGGTTTAACAAAGGGGAAGCATGTTGGCTTTTTAAGAGGGGCATCGTTGCCCACAAATCCCTGCAAGGAACCTGTCCAGTTCTCATGGAAGAAAGGACTTGTCAAAAGCCCCAAATGGAATTCTTCCCAAACAGGAATTTTCTTCAGTTATTGGCTGATTGCCTCCCACCTTCTTTGGGATGTTCAGTTGCAATCTGATGCCATATCAGAGATAATTCCACCCTTCCAGCCAAGTGATTAAAACCTGCCTAATCCTTGGAGAAGCCTCTCTTGGAGGCTAGAAGGCAAATTCTCCCTCCCTCTCAAACAGCCAGACTGCTCCTATATAAGGGGCCCTATTTCCTGAGACAAACCTATTCCCAAATAAGGTTTTGTCCTCTGAGGGTAGAAGCTGTACATTTGTAAGTAGTTGGAAGAAAATCCCAAAAGGTTTCCTGGTCACCCTTTCCCCAATGGGAGAAGAAATAAGTTTACCCAATGAGTATACATCTTTAGCAGCACAGGCACACCTTGTTTTATTGCACTTGAGTTTGTTGTGCTGTGAATAATGTGTGGTGTGTTTTTTTTACAAGACCCTCCACCAGCAAAGAAAATATGAATCGCTGAAGGTACAGATGATGATTAGCATTTTAGCAATAAAGTATTTTTTTTTTAAATTAAGGTATGTACATTGGGTTTCCATAGACATAATGCTATTGCATGCTTAATAGATTACAATATAGCCTAAACATAACTTTTATATACACTGGGAAACTAAAAATGTGTGTGACTAGCTCACTTTATTGTGATATTTACTTTATTGTGAACCAAAATCACCGTATTTCTGAAGTATTCCTGTATAGTTTTTTTCTACTGTTATCATTCTCAATGCAATGATTAAGCATTTTTTTCCCTACATACAGAGATAATTCACATAATTTGGTTACTTGTGGCTACAGGACAGAAGCATCAACAATTCCTTTTCCTGTATCAGAACAAGGTATATTGCAGTGAATTTTCCTCATTGTTCAAGCCAATCCCTTGTTCTTTTGATTCTGTTCTTCTCACATTTGCAATGTTTTGTTCTCTGAATACAGGAAACAAACAGATCATCCCAAGGTTCTGAAATCTTTCATTTTTTAATCATTTTCATTTCTTCACCTCCTCTATCATTTCTACACAAAGGGTTTGAACAAGATGTAATTTATTTAAATGTGCATCTCCCAGATTTTAGGATTTTGACTATGTAGGCTCCTTCAATCGAATAAGTAAATATTTTCCCCTTATTTGTTTATTCCCCTTCTCACTAACCTTCTCATGCAACCTTTTGTAATATCTTGCTTGGTGAAGATATCTGGAGGTATTAAATGCTTGTTTCCTCTTTTGGAGCAGAACTGACTAATGTTATTTAAATTGAATATCTATAAGAGTTTGGTAGTATGTATAATTCTGAACTTCAAGGTGAACCTAAGAGCAGGACCTCCCACCTCATTCTGCTTCCCAATTCCCTGTTTCTGCCGAAGGAAAGGCGTCATGATGCCTAACTAACATTTCAGTCATTTTTATGTTGCTATTCCCTACTAAGTAGATAACTTCACTTTAATTTACAATGGAATTAAAGGCCAGCATGAACATGAGCTGGAACCAGTAGTGGTACGCTACCAGCTAGGCCCGGCTTGGCTGAACCAGTAGTAAAAAGAGCCTCCCACGATCAGCTGAGAGGAGGGGAAAAAAAGCCTGGACAATCAGCTGAGAGGAGAAAGAAGAGAAAAGCACAGGATCGGCCCTCCCACCGGTCCCTGCTTTTTTCTCTTCTTTATCCTCTCAGCTGATTGGCGCTGCAGGCCTCAGCTGGTGTGTTGAAAGCTGTTAGGTGCATGTGCATTAGGTGCACATGCACGATCACCAAATCGGTAGTGGAACAGGTAGGATCCCACTGCTGGCCGGAACATTATCTGCATGCCATTATGGTGGTTAATTAAAATCAAAATAAACACTGGTTGATGATGAGGAGAACTCAGCAGTAATGACAAGAACATTTGTAGGGTGGCATGCCTGGGTAGACATCCTAATTGTCAGATAATAGTTTATGGAATCAGTTAGCAAAGACTTCCTTGAATATTTTGCTTCATTTTCTAATTTTATCTTGCACCAATAAGAGCCATGGTGGCGCAGTGGCAAGAGTGCAGTACTGCAGGCTACTTCTGCTGACTGTCAGCTGACTGCAATTTGGCAGTTCAAATCTCACCAGGCTCAAGTTGACTCAGCCTTCCATCCTTTGGAGGTGGGTAAAATGAGGACCCAAATTGTTGGGACAATATGCTGACTTTATAAACTGCTTAGAGAGGGCTGTAAAGCACTATAAAGTGATATATAAGTCTAAGTGGTATTGCTATTTTAGTGCTGACAGCTAGTTGACCAAATGTGAGTGATAAATCTTTCTGAGTTACAACTCAACCTATGGTCCTGATCCTTTTACACCACATAATAGTGAAGCAATATCTACATAAGGGTAGCCAAATGCTTGACATTAGCTCAAAAGAGGTAGACCTTGCAGAATGCCAATTAGATGCATATAAGGATTGCACAAGAACTTCATTCAGAGAGCCCTGATGGTGTTTTCATGCTCCTCACCTGAAAACGCTTGTCGTACATGTCAGTTACCCCATTGTAATAAAAGTTGTCTCCAAGAGATAAGATGAAATCAGCTCCCAGTGAAGCAACAGTTCGTCCCATCTCTTTGGCCACGGCTACTTCACGAGCAGTGTAGAAAGGTGCATTAGGAAGTCCACCCCAATCTCCAACTGCAATGAAGCGTAGGGAGGAACCAGCATGAAGGCTTGGAAGGACAGCCAGGAAAACACCCAAGAGGTGCAAGAAGCTCATCCTCTGAAAATGAGAGAAAAGATGAAACTATATTATGTGTTTTTATGCTTACAGACACACACATACAAAGGGTAGGAGAAAGAATCCCAGAACTTATCTGGAAAGTCCAGCCAAGTCCTGGTTCCTACCTCCAGCTTTATTATTTATTAGTTATGCCTTTCCTTTCCTCAGATCTAGGAGCTCAAGGGAGGACATCTGAAGCTAATACTGCCCTCTCTACAGGTCACTTGACTGGGATTCTAATGGCAAGGTGACATCATTTATATTGAAGCATCCAAACATCCAAAAAGCACTGCAGTTTTCCAGACGTTATGAGATTAAAAAGCACAGCAGTATCATCCTGCTCTTTCCCCCCAGATTCACATAGAAGCCAAGCTAATGGCTGATTTTTCCCCCCTCCAATAATCCTGGGAGGAAAGCATTTTCCAGCTTTATGTTCCAACACTGTGCTATTCACTCCTCAGCACCTGCTACATTGTGGTCATTTCTTTACCTAAAAGTGTACCTTTTAGAATAGTAATGATGCTAGGAATGTCTTATGCATCTAACCACTCACTGTTCTTTGTTCTATCAGTCATGATAAGCTTTCATATGGCAATCACTGAAGTAGTGGCTTTACTCCTGAAGAGATGGAGAATACTACAAGATCAATGGATCTATCAGACAAGTAAGCTGTTTTAGATAAATACATTATTTCAGCGCATCTTGCTCATTTTGTATGTTTTTCAGTGACTCGGACTTATTCAAAAGTATTACTTTGATTGACCAAAGACATCAGTTGTCACTGAGGTCAATATCTATTTACCTATCTGGCAATGACCATTTTTTAGTTAATTTTATATGCTTTTTTAAAAACATGTTTAGGATTCTACTTTTATTCTTTTTTTTTTTTTGGTAGAATTTAAAATTACTGTAAGTCATGTAGAGTCATGCATTTAATATGTGGCTATATACATCCAAATAATAAATTAATTAATACAGTATGAAAAATTGTAACTTGAATTCAGGTAAAAATGGTAAAATCATGAATTAAATAGAAAAAGGTATGGTGAATTGAGGCATAAATTATATTAAATTCCATTTCCCTGCCACGAGACAGGTAGATATGCAAAACTCCCCAAAAATATTAGAAAAGTGCCTCACTTAGGCAATCTTAGGGATTAAACTCAAAATAAAATTTCTAAAATACAATATATTTTACTAGATATAATTCCAGAACATATAAATAGCAACCATCATAATTAAGATAACTTTATTAAGATTACCGTGAGGACAAACTTCACATACTAAAAATGCAAACCTTTCTCTTTTGATACTTATAGTAATATAGAATGCTAGCATTAATTTCAAAAAATGCTTACTTTTTTCTTTTATCTTGTATCTTCTATTGCATATATTTTCTGTATCATATTTTCTATATCTTATATTTCCTATATTGTATTTTGCTTGGCATGCTTCATCTTTTATTATTTGAGCAAGAATTGTATAACTTTTCTATTTTGTATTTATTGTTGATATTGTTCTGAAAATATACCTTGTTTTAAATAAAAATAATTTGATTAAAAAAACCCTAAAACTCCACATTAGTACAACTGTCAATTTTTGCTTGCTTGCTTTAAAACTTTTAAGAAATCAGTTGTATGCAGAATGTTTCATTAATGTGTTTTTAAACACAGCTCTCAATGCACATATTCAAAAAGTCTAGTCCCAGGACTTGCGGGAGGACTAAGGCTATTGGGAGATTTCCTGGGAGAAAAAGAAGAGGAACTGCCTGGAGAGGCAGCATCCAGCACTGGTCTTTTGAGCAACTCATCTGCATTTCAATAGGACTTGTGCAAGGCAAGATCATTCTAAATGACCTCTATCTTTCTAGTTATCAACCTATTATCTTCCAAATTCTTCTGTGGCTTTCTTTTCTTTGACCTTTAAAATCCCCATGTAATCCCCTGTCCAAACATATAACATTTTTAGAAAGACTTAACATAGGATGATTTTCCCACTTGGAAACAGCTGAATTATTATCTTCCAGATTGTTTTGCATGCAGTATTTCTCATTATTAATAATTGTAAATCTGCCTCTGGCTGATCACTTTAAATATGCTACAGCACAATCCTAACAAACAAAACTGAACGTCAGTAATATTATATTGTTGCAATAATAACAAATCAGCTAAATAAACCAGATAAATAAGCCCCAAGACTTTTCAGAGCAGGACATGACCTTCCTCTCACTGCTCACATTAGCAAAAGAGTTAAAGAATAGGTGGTATAATCGAATTGTTTTTCTTATTCCAGGGCTACAGCAATCCATATGAGAAGCTTTATTGCTACTGTAGTTAAGTTAATCTTGAATAAATAAGATTAGTGCTGCTCCCTTTTAAATTTTAAGGATCGGTTATCCTTAGCCATCTTTCATTCTAAGATGACGACCCATCTGAGAAAATGGTACTGGTTCAAACGGCACGGGCACGATCTCTACGTCTCATCTACAGGCAGGAGGCAAACTGCAAATGGAACCCCATTCGTTTCCATTGAACCCCATTAATTCACTGGAGAGCGTTTGGAAGGTCCTGAATGAGAGGGAAGATGGAGACCCAGCCAAGTGCCCCTTTGGTTGGTTTGATAGATGGTATATGTTGTATGTAGCCTGTTGCCGTTTGTTTTTCAGAAGTCATTTGGGTGTAAAATTCAATTTGGTTTTGCGCTTCCTCCTTCGTGTGGCCTAATGCCTCCCTGCCTCAGTTATTTAGCCACGCTGGCATTCCATTATCCATGGGGTCTTTTCCAACTAAGAGCCACCCATCCAACCCAAAGAACGTTGCCTCCAGCCACCTGCTAGGGCGGCAGGATTCCCCTCTAGGAAGAAGGAAGGAACGGCGGGTCCTGGCAAGAGAGGTAAGAAAGCCAACAAAAAAAGTTGGAGAGAGAGAGAGAGAAGTAACTTCAAGCGGCACGTGGAGTGTCGCTGCCCGCAAAGCCGCCCTCCTTACGTCTGTCAGTTTTCTCGGCCAACGCGCCAGTCCAGGAGTTCTCTCAGCGCCTCTCGCTCCGGGAACTATCGCCCAGGCCACAACTGAAGCGACTCCCTGGGCAGCGGAGCATTTTATCAGGTGCTGGAAACGGGAAATAGGGGTGGGGTGGGCAGTTCCCTCCGGCACCCCCCCTCCCGCCCAGGGGAGTAACGGCAAGGCAGAAAAGCTGAGTGTAGCGGAGGAACAAACCACACATCTTCCCTCCCTCCCCCCGCCATGTGACGCGCCTCCCTCCCCTCCCCGCAGGCTGGGGTTAAAGTCATTCTTTAACCTGAGCGGGGCTGATAAGAGCGGCAGCCGCCCGAAGGCATTTAACCCTTCTCAGGTGCCCAGGCGTTGGAGACCACGCTCTGCAGTTTAAGGACACCTTGGAAGGAGACAGGGTGGCCGGCCGTTGTGCAGGAACGATCCAAGGGCTTTTCTCAGTCAAGCTGAAGTTAAAAAGAGGCCGGGGAGTCGTCCCGCTCGAGCCGCGAGGCTGATCCTCAGCCTGGGGCATTCACATGTCCTGTATCGATAGGGGCGATCTTTGGATTTGAAAACAAACTGGAAAGGCTCTTATGTCACTTAGTAGGCAAATAAAGGTCAAACTACACTCCCAGTAAAGATAACAAGGAAGATGGCTCAAGCAAGGTAAGGGGGTAGCTGACTTTGAATGCTATCCTTCAATCCTACTTGATCTTCCAAGCACAACAAAGCTGACTTTTAATATCTAAAGAAAATGTGATTAGGTAGCCATTAATTACAATATCTAAACAGAACCTGCATGTGCAATGGGAGAAATCTTCAGGACCAAGTTGGGAATAAACACCAGAATCACTGACATCTCTTTCAAGCCCCGAAAGCCAACTACTGATAAGTTACTGATAAGTGACATACCCAGAATCAAAAAGGAAAACATAAAATGGTGCTCTTTTGGAATGCATTGAAGATTACTTAAAGTTTTCCATCAAAACACAATTATAAAATAGAAAGATAAAAATGCAGCACATTTCAGAGAAGAGTTGCCACTGCTTCATATTCTCAGTTGCCTCCCTGTAGATGAAAATCAAAACTGGTTAGCAAGATCCCAGGGCAGGGAGGGAGTTGGAGACCTCTGGACTTGGGTAAGGCAAACCCTCCCCATAAAAGACAGCTGTGGGACCTTGCCTGCCCATGAGTTAATACATCAATTTCAGTTACTGTCCCATGTCTGGATCCAGACACCATGCCATGGTCCTGGACATGGGGATCTCTGGAGAAAAACAAGGTCAGAAGAAGGCCATGGATAAACAAAAAGGTGGAGAAACATTGGACTGATAGGCAAGAGACCCTGGAAGTGGGCACCTTGATTTGGATTTCATGCTGTTGCAACCCTTTTTGCAATTTGTGAAACACGGTAGGATTAATTTATGAATGAGTAGGGGGAATTGCACTGATGGGTCTCATTTTCTTATACTTCTGGTGAAATGAAAAGAATGTGTCAGGCAAAAAAATCATTATTTTTACAGGGATGGCTACCTAATCACATTTGTTAATTTAGGTAATGAAATGCACAGAAAGTGACCTGCTCACCTTCCACTATTTGGCATTAGGTGCAAAGTTCTTTCATTTTCTTTTTAAGCTGTCCGTTCTATCTCAGTATTCTGACACAACCATGATTGGTCTCATCTCTGGAGAGGATGAGGCGGCATATAGGGCAGAAGTAGAGAACCTGTCTATCTGGTGTTCACAGAACAATCTGTCACTGAATGTCCATAAAACCAAAGAACTGATTATGGACTTCAAGAAACATGGGCAGGACCACGCCCCACTCAACATCAATGGAGAACGACTGGAAACTGTCCCTACGATCAGATTCCTTGGCATCCATATTTCAGCTGATATCTCCTGGTCCCCTAACACCAAGGCCATAGTGAAGAAGACTCAGCAGCGGCTGCACTTCCTGCGGGTTCTCAGGAAGAACAGTCTGGATAAGAAGCTATTGCTGGCTTTCTATAAAGCCTCTGTGGAGAGCACTTTGACATATTGTCTGGGTATGTGGTATGCAGGCTCCACAGTTTAGGACAGGAAAACTGTACAGAGGGTGATAAACACAGCTCAAAAGATCATTGGTTGCCCTCTGCTCTCCCTGGAAGACTTATTCACGTCCCGCTGCCAAAGCAGAATCAAGGCCATTATAGAAGACCCCTCACACCCTGGCAATTGTCTTTTTGACCTGCTGCCATCTGGACGGTGTTTTGGGTCAATAAAATCCCACACCACTAGACTAACAAATAGTTTCTTTCCCTGGGCCATCCGAACTGCAAATAAACACGAAGTCAACTACCTCATTAAGATGTGAAAAGATATGAAATCTCAATACCCCATTCAGATATATAATAACATATTACAGTACAATCCATCTCTTGTGTATTATACTCGGCTAAGCATTACAGTCAGTGTTAGATGTATATTTTGTGTATATTCGTAGATATTGTACTCTCAAATTGCAAATGGAGACATGGGTACTCTATTTTTCTTATCTTCATTTTTAAGTGCTTTGGTTTTATTGTATTGCGAACAGTTGCTGGGGTGCATCCACAGTTTCACCGTACTTGTATAATGACAATAAAGTTCTTCTAATTCTAATTCTAATTCTAATTCTATTGAACAGATAAAGTCCACTTGAGACCAAGTCAGAGTAAAAGCAACCAAACATCATGTCTGAGATGCAAGCAGGAAAAAAAATATTTTATGAAAAAATATTTTAACATTATCATTTGGTATAGACAAGCGGTCGCCAACCAGTGGTCCACGAGAAAATTTTGGTGGACTGCAGAGAAATGTCACCCTCATAGCACGCCCCCCCCCAAAGCAATTAATCCAGGCTGCACCGAAACACAAGGCTGCACCACCCACATGGCCTGCGGGAACCGTCCCTACCCACTCACTCCTTACCCGGCAAACTTGCCTGCTAAATGCTATTTTTCCCTTCCCTCCCGACCATCAGCTGTTCTGCTGTGCCGGCCGGAAGATTTAGATTAGCTTGGAAGCAGGAAATGGTTGGATTTCTTGCTTTCTACCTAGTCTTTAGATCTTTGGCTCTGCTTTTAAGCACAGCCAAACCTCCCTTAGGACTGAAGATTCTATTATTCAGTGCAGACTCATGGTAAGCAAATTTTATATGGCAGACTCAGATAGTCGATGGCAGATAGATAGATCACTGAATGATTCTGTGAGCAACTCAATCTGCCTTCCTGCTTTGCCTGATTTTGGGTAAAAGTTGCTCTTTTTTAATAAAAAATTCAATATTTACATACATGGTGTGTTGTGAGTTAATTTTGTGAGTTTGCTTGCAAATTTTATGAGTTTGCAAGCAAATTTTATGTGACAGACTGAGCTAGCCAATGGCAGATAGATAGATCTCTGAATGAATCTGATTCTGTGAGCAACTCAATCTGCCTGCCTGCTTTGCCTTATTTTAAGTAAAAGTTGCTCTTTTTTAATAAAAAATTCAATATTTATATAAATATTTATATAATACAAGCCATGCCCAGCCAGTCACATGGCCACCAAGCCACACCCACAAATTAGGCCATGCCCACAGAACCAGTTAGGGATCCCTGGGATCTAAAATTGTGAGTTTGGTGGTCCCTGAGGTCCAAAAGGTTGGCGACCCCTGGTTTAAAGCATCAGGCTAGAAATTAGGAAATTGTGAGCTCCAGTCCCACCTTAGGCAAGTAGCCAGCTGGATGACTCTGGGTTAGTTCCTCTAGTCTATTGCAATCCTAGGAAAGAGGCAAAGGCAACCACTTCCTAAAAAACTTTGATAATAAAACATACACACACACAATAATTTTGTTAAATTTAAATGGCACTACTTTGAATAATTCAGGATTGATTTCATCAGTAGAATGAAAAAACTGCTAAATAGGCAAAGACAGCTGATGAACAATTATAGAATGATCAAAAATTTTATGTCAGTGGTGTGATAATAAATTGTGAAGATCATTGTGTGTGTGTGTATGTATATGTGTATATGTGTGTGTATGTATGTATGTATGTATGTATGTATGTATGTATGTATTTGTTTTCGTAGATTTTTACGGGTACAGGTATGTAGGTCTAGGTGTGTTCAGGTCTTTTCCCATGTAAGATTAAGAGTATCTTGGTGACGTTTCGGCGAGGTCCCACTTGCCATCCTCAGGCTGGTGCTTTCGGCTTCATGCCAGTGCAAGCAATGTGTGATTGGAGCTGCCATCTGTCTATAAATACTGGTGGTGGGGGCTGGTGTGCTGGGCTGGTTGGCTGCACTGCTGCCTCTTGATTGGTTGATGGAGTTGATGTTGGTATAATGGGCTGTGTGATGGCCTTGTGAGTTTTGTTGTGGAGATATCCTGGATCTTGTGCTGTAATCTCCTGGGTCATTTGTTTTGTAGTGATCTTTTTCCCATTAACCTCTCGTGTTTTAATGGCTTGGGTAGTGGGTTGTGTGATGGGCTTGCGAGTTCTTTTGTTGTGGTATCCTGGGTCCTGCGTTGTAATCTCCTGGGTCTTTTGTGTTTTGATCTCTTTTCCATTAGCCTCCTGTGTAGTAACGGCTTGGGTAATGGGTTGTGTGATGACCTTGTGAGACTTATTGCTGTGGTCTCCTTGGTCTTGTACTGTGACATCCTGGGTCATTTGCTATGTTGCAACTTCTTGAGTTCTTGTGGTGTAATTTCCTGAGTTTTCTGATGTGATATCCTGAGCGGGTGGCTGTGATGTAGCATTCTGGGTTTTAGTCTGGCTTCGAGTTTGGGGTCTGGGTCTGTGTTCTTGGCATGTGTCAGCTTGTTTGATTTTGGGGTCGGAGGTGTGACAGCTGGTGAAGCAGCCGTGGTCTGCTGGATGGTGGGTGTCCTTCATTTATAGGATGGGCTTGGGCCTGGGCCTGATAAGGGGGATTGGCGGTGGTGTCCCGTGTTGTTTTGGGTCTGGTGTTGGTTTTTGTGGTTGGGACTCCTTTGTTGGTGAGGGCTAGCTTCCAGATGTCTGGTAGGCGGGAGGTATCGTCCCATCTATTCATGTTATGCGGGTGTTTCTCTATCTCGATGGCTTCCCTGATTATTCTCTTGCTGGAGTGTTCA